TGTGGAAAACGAGCATCCTAGGATCGAGACTCAATTTGAAGGACTCAACATCAGTACAGAACCTTTTACTGTGGATGAGCTTAAAGCTGCTAAACACAGGATAAAAGAAGGTAAAGCACCAGGTGATGACGACATACCACCTGAAGTCCTCAAAAGATGCGACCTGGATGAAATCGTGCTGTCCTTCTGCAACAAAGCCCTGACAGATGGTATTGCGCCAGATCAGTGGAGGATAAGTAACATCATCCCGGTTCCCAAAAAGGGAGACTTGACCAACCCTGGAAACTGGAGGGGGATATCTTTGACTTCTCTCGTAGCTAAGACTCTCAATAGAATGGTGCTTAATAGGATCCAGCCGGCTATAGAGGGGGTACTTAGGGACACTCAGAATGGTTTTCGGGAAGGACGGTCCACTACTAGTCACATCTTGGCACTCAGAAGGATTCTAGAGGGGGCTAGACAGAGAAATCTACCGGTAGCTATGGTGTTTGTTGATTTTAAGAAGGCCTTTGATTCACTTCACCGGGGAATTTTGATGCAAATACTAAAGGCCTATGGAATACCGGACAGTATTGTAGATATCATTAATCTTCTCTATGTCAACACGAAGGGCAAAGTTATAACACCAGATGGGGATACCGAGCTATTTGATATCCTGGCAGGAGTTCTTCAAGGGGATACATTAGCACCATACTATGAGACAAGCCTTAAGCAAGCATCCTGAAATAGGATTTACCATTAAGCCTTATCGGAGTAGGAGAGTCAAGGCGGAGAAGATAACAGACACTGGTTTTGCAGATGACATTGCTCTGATAGCAGATACTGTAAAGGAGGCAGAGATGCTGATGCTAGAGGTAGAAAGAGTTGCTGCTACAGTGGGACTTAAAATGAATGAAGGGAAAACCAAATTCATTACTCAGAACATCGAGAACCCTGATACCATCAAGTCCCTGGGTAACAACACAATAGAGCACGTGGAAGACTTTACCTATCTTGGTTCTAGAATCAGAGACAGTGAGAGTGATATCAGGGTTAGGAAAGGAAGAGCATGGGGAGCATGCCACACTCTCAAAAAACTTTGGAAATCTAACCTTAGAAAGTCTATCAAGACCAGAGTGTTCACAGCACTAGTCGAGTCGGTGCTTCTATACGGTTCTGAGACTTGGACTATGACGAAAAGGCTGGAGAAGATGGTTGATGGTTGCTATACACGAATGTTAAGAATGGCCCTTAACATCAATCAATATCGAGACCATGTCAGCAACCACAGTCTGTACGGTGATCTTCCTAAAGTCAGCTCCAAGATAACCCAACGAAGGCTCAGACTTGCAGGTCATGCTCACCGACATCCGGAGCTGACACTGAACAAACTGATCCTCTGGAAGCCGAGTCATGGGCATACTAACAGGGGGCGACCTTACCTAACACTACTAGATAACCTAAAAGCAGATACTGGGCTGAAATCAGTAGATGAGATAGCTAGACTGATGGAGGACAGAAAGCTGTGGAGAACTGTTGTCAATGGATCTCGGGAATACTACCCGCCTTAAGTCAGTCAGTAAGTCAACAAATAATTTATACAGTAAAGGAAAAACAAAAAGACGATGATAGTACACCTATTTCAAAAGCTTTGTTATTTATTTAAAAAGAATCTGCAGCAAACTTGCTCATAGTTTCCGTTAAAAACTATCTGGACACCTCCCACAAGCATGTTATAAAGTATAAAGTGCACAAACCAGATAAAAAAAATTGAAGTTACTAATATGGATAAAGTTCTCACTATCAAGGATCATCGGCTTCATACAAGCAACAAAACGATTCACCAAATATCATTTGTCCTTGTCTCTTTCAACCGGATATTATCCGTATCAGTAAAAGAGTACAAGCTCGAATATGTAATATAATATAATATACAATCATACAATGTTATCAACTCTGTAAGATACCAACACAACATATTATCAACCCTTAAAGATACCAACATACCATATTATCAACCCTTAAAGATACCAACATACCATATTATCAACCCTTAAAGATACCAACATACCATATTATCAACCCTTAAAGATACCAACATACCATATTATCAACCCTAAAAGATACCAACATACCATATTATCAACCCTAAAAGATACCAACATAACAAATTATAACAGGCTGCCCCCGATGTTAGTCAGATCCACACTGTGCTTACAGATCATGTTATAATTATCAACGTGCTGTACTAGGCTAACATTTCATATACCACCGTACAAGATGTGACCTTGTGGTACTTGCTTGTTATGTTATAAGTTGTTTTACTCTAGATTGCTTGATCCACCAGCCAACTGTCTGGTACTACTAAGCTGGCCACAACTCATACCGGACAATTGGAGGACTTGTGTCTACTGTCTACTGGGGAAAGGGAGCAGGGACAGCTGCATTTTTGCTAATAACTTGTTAAAGCCTTATAAGACATAATGAGCCCTAATTATTAGATAAATCTGGTTTATAATCGTTGAGACAGCAAATAACAGTTCTCGTAATCACCTGATAACCGTTTTTCTGATTCTTTGTTCTGGTGGTAGTTTTCATTTTGAGGTTAGAGTTTCCAAAGTCTATCAACTATAGAGTCACCCCAAACTTTGAAAGACTAAAGAAAGTATCTAAAGAGTGTCTAAAGAGTGTCAAAGGAGAGCTCTGTAAGAGTAGATAACCAGGGAACCATCAGTAGCTAACCTCCACCTGAAGATGGGTTCGTCTCCAGAGGGTTTGTCTCCAGACCTACTCTCCTCCTCCTACTCCACAGTACCCGACTACGCGGAGGTACTCATTGGTTACACCAACCTGGCAGACTCTGAAACAGATGTAGTGGGTATTGCTTCACGTCAGCTAGCCGTGCTCCTGCTCATAGTTGTGGGGTTGCTGTTCGTGTCTACTGTTACACTGTATGTGGTTAAGAGATGTCATGTTAGGTTCATCACACTTCCTGCTATCTCGTTGGTTTATGGTGGGTAACTGGGCGGTTGTGTTATAAGCCAAACGTGTAGTGAATTTATAGTAATCGTGCGATAACTTTGTGATAACTTTATGAAAACTTTATGATAACTTTATGATAATTTTATGATAACTTTATGATAGCGTTATGATAACTTTATGATAACATTATGACAACTTGATGACAACTTTTAAAGACAAATTAATGATACTTTTCTCAATATGGGAGTGTTATAAAGTTGTTGTACTCTATAAGTGTATATTCACCTACAAGCATAACTGCTTGGCGTGATGAAGTACATCTTTGATTGGTCGAAGGTCTTTCAACAACACAGCATCATCATTTTCATAGTAGTCCCCGGCTTATGACGGGTTCATAGCGGTATTAAACATGTTTTTCTGGGCCCAAACATTCTACGCTCCTACTATGCTATTACTGGTCTCTTGACTAACTCCCAATCATCTGTCCATATGGTAGTGTTTCTGGACAAATAGATGGTATACGATGCCCTCAGGCTGATCTCAGCGATCTTCAGGCAGGCCTTCTTCTTCTCTTTGTTCTTTACGTTCAGGTGGTTCATAAATGTTGGGAGGCTATAGTTGTAAATGCCTCGAGCTCCCACTTCTACTGTCTGGAGCTTGCAAGCCCATCCGTTGGCTTCTATCTCTTCTGTCAGCTGCTGATATCTCTTCATCTTTCGCTTCTCTTGATCAGCAAAGTTCTGCTCATTTCCACAAGTCAGCTCCATTATATAAACCTTCTTTGCTTTATCTGAATAGATCACTACATCAGGTCTTAGTGGTGTAGCTGCAATGTGCTGCGGGAAGTTCCTCTGTCTCTCATCCTCATCAAATATTATCTTCCAGTCGTTGGCATCTGAAAAGAAATATCTTTGGGTCTTATGATGAGTTGGGTCAGCTAAGGTAACCTTCTCGCGCTTATTGCCTGCCTTGTGAAAGACCGACGGTGCCCTCTTCGATTCCTTGGCGATGTCGGAATTAAACTCGTCAATCTGTGATGAAACAGTTTTCATGATTTCACGTAGGACCTGATCATGGCGCCAGTTGAAACGTCCCTGTCTTAGTGCAACCTTGCAGAACGTGAGGATATGATTAAGTGTCCCTTGTTTGCTGCAGAGTTTACAGTTTCCTGAAACGGCTTTATTCCAAAGCTTTAGGTTGCTAGGTGTTGACGCAGTGTCATGGATAGCATTGACATGAAAGTTTAACAGTTCCGGACTAAGTTGATAGATCAGGTTATTCCACGTGGTGTCGAATGTCATTGTATTTTCCCATGTGAGAAAGAGGTTTTGCCGCTTTTTGTCAAAAAGTGAACAAATAAGTGTCTCTTCATCAAAGGTCCTCACCATGTTGGTTAGCAGTTTCCTCTCTGATGTGTCCTCATATCTTGTCCCATAACCGAGGCCAGTTGTACCAACTGCAGGTTTTCCAACTAACTCTTGGAAGTAAAGTTGGCGCTGACGGTCTTTCAGCTCTTTGGGATAAGACCACATCTTCTGTGTGTCTGCAATAGCCTTATGGTTAGAGTACACTTTTTTTATGTAGGGGTCACTAGAGTTACAAAGTTGGTGTCCCTTAATAAGTTGGATGACTTTGTACTCAGTGCAGATGTTTTTCAGCTGCAATCCTTTCTGGTCTCTACTCCTGTAGAGGACGGTGGTGGTGCAAGGATGCGCAATCCCTAGCCACTTCTTAAGGTATCTGTTACACAGTGCCTCAAGCTCTCTCACAAATGTGATGGGTAGGTTATAAACAGTAAACCCCCATGACATCTTACTAATGATGAGGTGTTTATACACCCACGCCTTCATTGGACCGGTGATTTCATCATTAGATGTAGTTTCTAAAAGGTCCTCTAACTTCTTCTTAATCATGGACCGAATTTCCTTCACCTCAAGATCTACATACATGTACATTCCTAGGAACTTCATTGGTGCTTGGGTAATGGAAGGCTGATAATAATAATATTAATAAAACGATATTATGATACAATTTATCAGGTGTTGTCGCGGGACTGATAATAAAGTTGGTGGGAGTGTCTATCAGCGAGGTAAGAAGTCCCAGGATCGGAACATGTGACAAAGTTACCTACAACTTCTCAGAGGAGACCTTACCCTACTACATCACAACAGGTAACTACACATTACACATAACGCTACTGAAGGACTAAAATATTATTTATTAAAAAAAAGTACTAAAATGTTAATATTAGGATTAAGGATGCAGTGAAACTATCGGACTACGATGAATGGGGACTTGCCACCCATGGTAACATTAAAATATATCGACCCTTACATCGTTTCCTCCTGGGGGGCCCTCTTAGGACTTACTGACTTAGGAGGGGGACAATTAAAAAAAATTAACTACCGTACTAGCAAAACTGGGATTTTACTGGCGTATCCTCTAAAATCATCTAATTTGTTCAATTTTAGGGAGGGGCGTCAAAAGGGGAGGGGCGCGCCAACAGGGGGGTGCTTTTTCAGCGGGAGGAGGGGGGGGGGGGCGCCAACAGGCAACGTTGTGCCACTGGCACGTGCACGTTAGCACACGCGCATCGATGGAACTGTATAAATTTATAATGTGCACGTGAATATTGACGTTGTATCATTGTACAATGTTCATAGTACATAGTACATAGTACATAGTACATAGTACATAGTACATAGTACATAGTACATAGTACATAGTACATAGTACACTACAACTGTGTATAGACTTTATCACTTCAGAGGAGCTGCTTATTGATACAAAGAAATTATTTTAAATCAACTGACAAGATTTTCATCTTTATCCTCATAATATGGGTATAACGAAGATCTTCTCTGGTTTATGGTATCATAATTGCATAACCAATGTCCTTTCTAGATGTAATATTATTTATACAGACATTTTTATTTTGTATTAATTGAATATTTTACACAACAAGTCCAAATTTCTCCAAATTTCCTTATCTTGAAAGATAGGAATGTTGCCTAACGGTCTCGAGTTTCAACAGAGTAACATGACGCTCTACATTCTTCTTCTTCTCAATTCTATTGTACTTACAGCATAATGCATATATCTATATTATATTGGCCATGGGCGTGTGTGTGTACTGTGTGGGTAATGTGTGTTCCATTGTTTTAAATACCTTTTTGTGTACATGTTGACAATGCGTGCCACACTACACAGTGTGTAGTTAATTTTCATAACTTTTAACAATAAAATTAATGTACAAATTTGTTAAAAAAATATGGGTGTGGCACATAGGGCGTGGTCACAGGAATTTTAAACCATGTTCAAACGAAATGCTTGGGTCACATTTATATTCGAGTAGAAAGTCTCAAAGCTCTAAATCAATCCAATCATTTAAAAATCTGCGATTTTCGTGTTTTTATGTGTATAAGAAATAGGGGCGTGCTCCACGGCCAGGGCGTGGTCACAGAGTTTTGAAAATATGTTTAAACGAAATGCCATCATCACATTTATATTAGAGTAGAAAGTCTCAAAGCACAGAAATGACGCTTTCATGTTAAAAAATGCGATTTTCCCTATTTTACCTGTATAAGAAACGCTATAAAAATGGGCGTGGCATGTGCGGACCATATCCGGAACACTAGAGTCAAAAAATTTTGTTTGGTCGTTCCTGACCCTATAGAGCAACTAATAAGATATGATTTCTAATTATTTGAACAACTTTTGGTAAAATGAACCACTCTAGTGTGTAGTGTGGCACGCATTGTCAACATGTACACAAAAAGGTATTTAAAACAATGGAACACACATTACCCACACAGTACACACACACGCCCATGGCCAATATAATATAGATATATGCATTATGCTGTAAGTACAATAGAATTGAGAAGAAGAAGAATGTAGAGCGTCATGTTACTCTGTTGAAACTCGAGACCGTTAGGCAACATTCCTATCTTTCAAGATAAGGAAATTTGGAGAAATTTGGACTTGTTGTGTAAAATATTCAATTAATACAAAATAAAAATGTGTGTACTGAGTACACACATACATATTATAGTGCTGCTTTGTTGTGTACTGGAAACACTGGAGTGGATCCGGGAGTCTAGGTTGCAAGTCTCTAGAGCGGCGCTCTAGATCACAACCTAACTTTATTAAGTGTTGTAGAATGTAGATGTGTTGAACGTTGGACTCGTTATTAAGAACAATAAAGTAGTTCATCCATGTCCTTTCATCCAGCTAAACATTTAAGAGTATACAATTACAACTTACAGGCATATCTGGCCCAGTGTTGTAATAAAGCAATCAAACTCACTCCTTACCTTTTCAGAGTTTACGAACGGTTCGTCAAAATTAAAGAGATTGTACGCTTACTCGGACACTCTGATGAACAATGAAACAGCACTGGTTGTGATCAACAAGTTATCAGAAGCGGTAAGCAGAGTGTGTTTACCTTATCGGACGTTATTTGAACGCTATAGAGCCTCCAGCGTCCAATTAATATCCGTTCAAATAAGGTCTGATAAGAAAGTGTGTAGCGTACTACAGACTTAATCTAACTTTTAAAGTGGTGATAGCTAAGTGTTATGGCTTATAGTTAAACAGTAGACCTTATACCAACTGATAAACAGCTCTCGTAATTAACCATCTCGACTTACTCGACTTAGGGCGGCTTCAACGTCCGAACAGAGATAGTTTTCTTCCAAATCTGTCGAGCATGAGTTTGTTAATCTCCATGCTGTCGTCAAGCCCCGTGTCCTTCCGAAGAATGTCAATATATATGTGAGATGCGGTCTTCCCCTTCGATTAATTAACCATCTCTAACTATCTGATTAACAGTTAATTGCATTGTATATTAGATGCCATCGTGGAATAAGTGGTCTCCTGTACCTTTTCCGCCTTACCATGGTGAAAATCGGACCTAATGATAGGACATCTTAATTGGTGAGGTAATGGCGATATCCTCGAACAAACGAGCTTACTAAATTATAATATGAGCCCTCGCAGTACCCAAAATTTGGCCGCTGTTCATTGTTAATGGTATAATTACTGTACTGCTTAAGTACTGCAGTCGACATTGTCATGTACCATCTTATGATTAGATGAAGGAGAGTGATTTGAAATCTATAGCTTAGTAGTTTATTATTTACATTCTACATTTGCATACTCACTTCTCAGTAGAGATATTTACTTAGATACTTAAACATTATAGTAGTAATGTTATGTTCTTATCTAATGACTAGTGACTGCACATACGTCATACATACCTCAAAAAACTTGTTACTGCATGAATTATGAATTATCTTGTACGGTTTTTAAAAAGTAAATCGTGGCCGGACTTTTGGATCACCTCAAAATACGATTGAATTTATTTGAAGAAATAAGACGATAATAATATCCTAGTAAACACTAAAACACTATTTTTCAGTTACAATTTGATCCGGAGATCTTCTTCTATATCTTGCTGCCACCTATCATCTTCTTTGCGGGATATGATCTCAAAAAGGTTCGTATTGTCTTTTTTGTATTTTATTTCTAAAATATGCAACCTACCAAAACCAATGGTGCCCTCTACTCCCCGGGCTGTTTCCTTGTCTCCAATGGTGTAAAAGAAGGTCAGGATTTCTTCACACCAAGCTCTAACATCGGTTTGTATTGTCTTAAAACAGTTACTATCGAACTTCTTTACCATATTTTATAAATTTGTCCCGAGTTTTTAGCTCTAAAAAGGTCTGAACTTTTGAACTGTTAATAATTTATGCTTTAAAGTATTTTACGCCTTTCAATTTTATAGTTTTTACTTGACGAATTTGTGATAAACGAATCAAATGGCAAGATTATTATATATGGAATAACTGCACTGTACCTACAAAATTTTACCTGAGCAATATTTTTATTAGTATCTACTATCTAGGTATCGTTGCATATTCATCATTTTTGTTGGTTCCGTGGAATTTTATTTTCGCGAAATGTTGCAACCTTTGAACCAAGTTACCAAATAAAGCCTAATCGTCAGGAAGTGGGGTTAGGAAGGACGACGTTTTAAATTTTTGAAACACAAATACTGTAGAAAAAAATCTCGATAATTTGTACTTTGTAATTTCATAACATGGAGAACATGCAAGATAAGAGTTTTAATATTTATTTTGTCATTGAAAGTGTTACAATATAAACCAAAACTATAAGATCTCAACTTAAGATTTCGGTTCAAGTTCCGGTTAAGTTTACCATACAGTAAAATTACATTATAGAGCATGACGTGGTGAGATGCACAGTGAGGTTAAACTCGTTAACAGCCATTGCACACCGGTATGGCTGTTAGCAGCCTGAGAACCTAAATCAGCGTGGATTTTAAGTAAATACTGTGTATCATCGCTGAGATAGGTTCTCAGGCCGTTGTAAAGCACAATTTGTTTACTTACATATTTTACATATTTTACATATTTTACATATTTTCAGAAACATTTCTTCCGGAATATTGGATCTATCTTGATGTTTGCATTTGTTGGAACGACAATCTCTGCGTTTGCTGTTGCGTAAGTATTTTGACTTTAAAGCGTTCAGTGTAATCATGTTCGGTTACATAACATACTAAATTTAGTTAATACATTTTGCTAAAAATGTATGTAATACCTCTATAATATTAGTATAATATATGCAAGAGCACGTTTCTGAAATGTACCAGTTCTTTAAAGGGTTCGTGTTTAGGTTACAATAATCTTACCCCATACCTACGTGAACTACACTTGAATAATGAATAATTATTACAACTGAAACAGTCATAATATAAGCTCGGGTCAACATCATGAATTATACATTAATTATTGATGTTACATGGTTAGTGGTTACATGTGTTACGTGGACAAACTCAAAGCTTCGGTAAATTACTCTTTACCAAGTTGGATGTAGCAGATTATAGCAGCTTTACCTCTCATATCTGAGATTGGAACATGAGCCTAACAAAGAAAACAAGGACTGATCAAGAAAATTGTAATAATTAATTATGGTTTTCATTAGAATACTGGACAGCATCAAAAAACCCGCCTTACAAACACATTTAAATCGTATAACTATCATTTTGTCACCAAACCTAATATTATTGAAAGCTATAATATTATAATCAATGATCGTATATACCTCATTGTAGATACTAACTACCAATCTTGTTCAAATCATGAAAAGTTTAAACATTTTTAAAGCTAATTCTTGACAATCAGAAAGAAGTTAAAAATCATTATTATCATTGTGATCATTGTGATCATTGTGATCATTGTGATCATTGTTATCATTGTTATCATAATTATGATAGTTATCATAGTTATCATAGTTATCATAGTTATCATAGTTATCATAGTTATCATAGTTATCATAGTTATCATAGTTATCATAGTTATCATAGTTATCATAGTTATCATAGTTATCATAGTTATCATAGTTATCATAGTTATCATAGTTATCATAGTTATTATAAGTTACAAGTACGTGTTTCTGTCTATAATATTCTTTATTTCTTCATTCTGGCAGCAACTTTTCTCAGCACAGACCTTTGTTTTGGTACTCTTTCTTCGAATGTTGTACATTTATCAGTATCAGCTGAGATTTGCCTAGAGCCTTCAATCTCGAATGTAAACCTAAGTGTTGTTTGTAATAGGAAAATGAAAAGGCAAATATATAAACATAAAAAGAAGAATGAAAAAACAGAAGTTTTATTTTCATTCCTCGATCTTATCGTATACGACCGCATGTTAAACTACATTGAAAGAAAAGGAAGTGTCAAAAGCAATTCTATCAAAGAGGCAAATCAAACTTTTCAACAAATCAGTGACATTAATATGGTGATTAAAAAACCTGTGACAGACGGTACTGATGAGCTTATCACGTTCAGTTTGTTCCGTTAAACCAGTTTCCTTCTCCACAACTCTCCTTCTTTCTTCTCTCAACTGTTTACGGAACCAGATGATGAATGGGAAGCAGAGGGTAAAGAAAGGAAAAAGAAGAGGTTGGGCTCTACTGTATTCCTGAAATAATAAAGTTGCAGCAAATGGAATGGATGTCCTAAATAATATATATGATGAAAATGGAAAATTATCGGGTATAACTAAAGTATAGACCCGCCATGTATAACTGTTGATAACTATTTAATTGATAACTATTTTAATTAATTATATAATTAATTAATTAATTATATAATTAATTAATTAATTACCTTGAGTAATTGGCTCCGAGCATATTTCCACTCAACATCACAATTATCCTTGATCCTATCAAAAGTGCTTCCCAGAATACCAATCAGCATGTTAAGGAGCAACACACAGGATAGGATGATGTAAAGGAGGAGAACCACGTTGATAAAGTCTGTTGTTGAGTTCTCGTGTTTACAGGACAGCTCCTGTGGATTGGTTTAATGAAACCGGACGTAATTTAATGAATTATGTCGATGGAAAATTGTCATTACAGTTGAAAAAGTAATAAAGGATTCATGATGAAATGAAGCGTCATTTAAAAATAACAGAGCAGGCAAACAAGATTATTACCTCAACATTAAGCAGGCCGAATGTAGACCACAAAAGATTCCTCATGGTATCAGGAAAAGTCTTGAATACGCCTGGGGGCTTTACTATACCCTCAGGGTGGCTCCTGTTGTACGGTAGCAGGGTGAAAGTGTAGTTATCAGCGAATAATTCTGACGATCTTTCCAGTTCGACGTTCCATTCATTGATGGTTATTGTCATGGAGTAAATTGCTATGGCTGTTCCGAAGACGATTGTCAGCAAAAGAATTCCAAATTTCAGAACATCTATTATCAGGTATTTCAGGGCTATCAGCATTGTGCCAAGTGATTTAGAGATTTCTAACAGACCAAGAATGCGTATTGTCAGGATAAATTCTGTGACCGAATGAATATAGTTGACTCTCATTGCATCCTGATGTGCCTTCATCACGTTTTCTTCCAGTTTTTTGTAATCAAATGGCTGCTCTGTCTCCATTTCCTTACTGTACTTTCGGTTAATATGCTCCACTCTGAAGTGGATCATTACTTCATAGAATGAGGCAACAGACAGCAAAAGAATGACCATGATATCCACCATATTCCAAAAGTCGCGGAAGTACCTTCTCGCCCCTTGCTGCACCAGGAAATCTACTTCAATGAAGATACGGGACAAGACACAGCTGTACAGGGCAGTCTCCATCGGTCCAACTTGGTAATCGGTCTGAATCACACAAACACACACCACTATTGCCAGAAAGGCCAAGTAGTTTATTGTGTCCGTGAGAAAGCATAAGTAAGGAGTAAATGTTAGTCTCAGAAGGGCCGCGAAAGAGCACTTCATGATTGGGATACCCTTGTGGATTTCAAACAGGAGAAACTTAAGAAAGAGCAATGGCAGTACTATCGGGCTTGTGATATATTTCAGATATATCACTGTCTTTCCATGAATGAGGGTGTTGGTTAAATCTCCATTCCAACGCTCGTTGATGAGCTGTTGACTAAATGGGTGAGACACAAACTGTTTTTTCTCCTGATCTATGGCTATTCTCAATAAGTTTACTGGGTGAGATAGGATTTCCTTTGCCTCAGCCATCTTATCACAGTGGTCCAGGAACTTGTACGCAAAAACATCTGCTTCCTGCATCAACATTTCAAACTCAACTGTAAACTCATCACGGACGTTCTTAATCTTCTTGATGCTCTTATCGACACATAATGCTGTTTTAATCGGGTCCCTGCACTTCAAGTATACGTTATCAGACAACAAGATTGTCAATGGCCTAACACTAAAGCCGCTTTCACTGTTATCCTGGACCTCTTTTTCTGATACGTACCTTAGAGACGAAGTTAACTTTACAACCGCAGCCTCGAGGTTACCACCTGCTAACAGTAGAGCACTTATTGTTTCCTTGTCATAACGATTGGCTGCTATGGTTAATGGGCTGTCTCTGTCTACATTGGTATAATTTGGATTACCTCCATAACTTAGGATGATATCCAGCATGGTGCAGTCAATTTTAGCTGCCATGATTAGTGGGCTATCTCCTTTTTCATTCTCACAGTTGGCGAGATTCAACTTTGAGTAGTGTATGGGAGAACATCCTATCTTTGGTGTGATATTCACTTTGTGACCCCTTTCTGCGAGAAACTTCTCCACTCCAGTGTGATTCCCTGATTCTATCAAGGCGAATATCTTACCATTTCCTTTATCAAGGTCACGAATGCTGGGCATGCCTGCTAGCTTGGGACTACTTTGTGGTTCTTTTTCTACTGTCTTGAAGTCCCTGGATGCCACAGTCGGTTCATCTTCATTTTTCTTGTAATCTAGGTCTGAATTGGAGTGGAGGGACAAGCACTCCATTTTGATTTCAGGAATTGATATTTCTACTTTGAGGCCTCTTTCTGTCCTCTTTGATCCGTTTTCCCTTGGTTCCTCCAGACCTTCTATTTCTCTGGATGTTTCTTTTTCTTGTTTTGCAGCGATAGAAACATCAAGCTGTGTGTCGTGCATCTTGTCTTCCTGCTTCATTCTTCACAGTTCACACATAGTCTTATTTCAACCGCAAAAATCAGATGGTGGCTTAAAATCTACCGACAGCTGCAGATTTAAATCAATGAAAAGTAAAATGTGCGAAGTAACGAGAAGAATACAGATTAGACATCACATTGAAATACCGAACTTGCATCAACAATGAATTATTTCTATTCATTGTGGCGTTATGATAACCAATACTCTGAATAAAGATCGTAAATTTTAAGATAAATATGAATATTACTTTTTAAACAGTAATACAAATATCAATTTTCTTGACTTTGTTGAATTTTTGAATTTTTGAGATGACCTTACAGTATATTTTTATTGCAACATCTGCTGTTTAGAATATAATATAGGAGTTGCCGTAATCTTGAAAGCTTCAGAGGGACTTTTCAATAATTCATCCTCATGAAATAAGTTACAACTGGATAATTGTTAGAAAAATCTACTTGAAGATCTTGACGCCTTTATTTTTCAAAGCTTGAACGGATGGTAACTCTGTTTAGAATCTCATAAATTTCTTCCATGAAGCCAATGATTAATTTGAATTTACTCCCGAAATGTACATTAAAAATTTAAGCTTTTAAGGAGGTCTGAAGCTTTGTTCTATGCAATACCTGTGCGTACCTTTCAAAAGTAGGATACACTCGGTATCATCATTTCGGTATTTATATTCAAGAAATCATCAAAATTCTGGAAACTCCATCTCATGTTGAGTTTCACAATTCATGAATAACTGAAGCGTCTTTACTGATTCTAGTCTAAGAGGCTAATTAATATAGTATTAATTATTCTCATCTACGTTTGTAATTTTGATAAAATTATTTGTTTGCTAAATCAATAAAACATTCCCTCTCTTTTCAAGAAGCTAACAAAATAAATAAATTATAAGAAACTAACCAACGATTCACTCAATTATATCACAATATATATATAAAATATTCATAATTATATATACAAAATATATACATAATGCATTATATGCTCCTTCATAAAGATTGTTTATTCTCTTTCAACGAGGTCATATTTTATGTGGAACACCCTGTAATTAGTGTATAACACTAGACTTTCTGACCGTATTATTCAATTGTTACCTATCTTGAACTCACGCTAGATATAAAGATATAAATTGTTTATTGATGCTTTTCATACAAACAAGTTAAAACAAATTCTTTATGTCGTGCATCCTGGGTTTAGACAGGATATGCCCGCTTAAAATACTTCCATCGCGTTACATTACATAATTCTCAAATTTAAATGTAATAGATTTGTAGTGTTGTAATTAGTTTATTTAATAACAATCTACTACTCTGTCCGAATCAATATCCATTATCACTCACTCTATTCTCTTTCAAATTCTACTTCTTTCCTTTTACTTTTGTGCTTTACTTTTGCTTTTTACTTTTTGTGCTATCTGTAGCAACACAGATTTTTGCTTTCTAAACTTCATTCTTGTCTCAAAAGATTGATCCTCCATATCACCATCACCATCAGATCCACCAACTAAGTTCCCAAACATAAACCTATCGCAGACTGCCTCAATTAGCTTGTCACGTTCATTCTCTTCTGTAAGATTGCTATCTTTCTGACGGTTCTTAGTCTGCTCCTGTCTCAACTTTCGGCGGAACCAAATAATAAAGGGAAAAAGAAAAGGGAAGAATGGAAAGAGGAAAGGTTGCGCCCTGCTGTACTCCTGAAAATTTAATTGTCAATCCCTCATAAATCATAAAATATATCTGATACATAGTTGGTTAGACTGCTTGGAATGGTACTACAGCACACTAAATATTCTGCAACTGTTTTTTTACCCTTGTGTAGGTCGGGTTAGCATTGTTGAAAAACTAAAATACAATTAAATGAAAAACTAAATTATGTACCTTGAGCAGGGTACTTCGTGCATATTTCCACTCAATATCACAGTTCTGTTTAACCATGTCAAACGTGCTGCTCAGAATACCGATGAGCATGTTTAGCAGAAGCACACATGAGAGAAGAACGTACAGAATCATCATTATGTTTATGAAGTCTGTGGTAGGTTGTTCTTTCTCTATCTTCAGATTCTGAAAGAGAATGATCACAGATTTCGCTTGTCCTGTTTATCATAGTCATCATATTCATCTATTGAATCTACAGATGTATTTTCCCTCGCTATATGAAACGGGCAAAGTGATACAGATTTGTATAAAGCTAAAAAATCTACAAATTATATGACTTACCACGACATCAAGAAGTCCAAACGTCCCCCACAAGATGTTTCGTAATGTGTCTGAGAAGGTGGCAAATACATCTGGTATTTCTATCCTATTCCTTTCATCAGTTACGTCAGGCAGCTTCTTTGGGAGGCCTTCTGGCCAGTCATAAAGCACCGCTATCGTCTCCAATTCCTGATTCCATTCTTGCAGAGCAATGGTCATGGAGAAAATAGCTACAGATGTTCCTAATATGATTGTAAGAAGGATCACACCAAATTTTATGACGTCAGCAGCCAGATACTTCAGTGCAATCAACATTGTACCAAGTGATTTGTGGATTTCTAGAAGACTGAGCAGCCTAATTGTCAAGATGAATTCGGCAACAGCGTAGATGAAGTTCACGTTCATAGAATTGTCATGCTGGTTGATCAGGATATCTTCTTGGCCCGCATACCACGTGATGTTGAACTCGCGGGAATTGTAATTGCTTGCCTCGATAATGTTTTGCTGTCTGCTTATAATATAGTTTATGCTGCCCTTATAAATTGCAGCCACCACTAACAGTAATATGACGGATAAATCTACAAAGTTCCAGAAGTTGCGAAAGTATCGCTTCCAGGTTTGTTGAATGAGAAGGTCAGTCTCAATGAGAATCCTAGCGAATACGCAGTAGTAAAGCACGTATTCTATAGCGGTCACCTTATATGTTCCCGCTCCAAATGGAATAAGGCAAGTACTAACCATCACAGCCATGAAGCCTATGTAGTTTATTGCATCTGTTGTGAAGCACAAACAAGGGACGAACAACAACCTCAATAGATCAGCAAAAGACGAGTCCATGAAAGGAATACCTCTGCAAATATCAATGAAGAGAAACTTCAGAAAGAGTAATGGTAGTACTAGAGGGCTTGTCAAGTACTTGAATGTTATTAGAGTCTTTCCGAACAATAATCTGTTAGCAGTTTCACCGTACCAACGTTCATTAATGATCTGCTGGCTGAACGGGTGAGAGACAAATTTTTTCTTGCTTCGATCTATCGCAGTTGTAAGGAGGTTTAGAGATGACGTTAATATCTCCCTCGCTTCAAACATTTTATCACAATGGTTGAGAAACTTGTATGCAAAAAGATCTGAATCCCTCATCAGCAACTCAAATTCAATTTTGAACTCGTCTCTTACGTCCTTTATGTGCTCGATATCTTTACAGACATCGAAAGCTGTTTTTATAGGATCTCTGCACTTTAGATATACATCATCTGCTAATAAAATAGTCAAGGGCCTGACACTGAAGCCAGCTCTGGTAGATTCTTTGAGCTGTTTTTCAGAGATGTACCTTAATGCTGATGTAAGCTTTACCACAGCAGCCCTGAGGTTACCCCCTGCTAACAGAAGTACATCTATAGTTTCTCTGTCGCTTCTATTGGCTGCGATGCTGAGTGGGGTATCTCTATCCTTATTGGCATGGTTGGGGTTACCTCCGTACTTGATAACTATCTGGACCATCTTGCAGTCAACCTTGGCTGCCATGATCAGTGGAGTATCGTCATTTTCATTCTCACAGTTGGCAAGATTCAACTTTGAGTAGTGTATGGGAGAACATCCTATCTTTGGTGTGATATTCACTTTGTGACCCCTTTCTGCCAGAAACTTCTCCACTCCAGTGTGATTCCCTGATTCTATCAAGGCGAATATCTTACCATTTCCTTTATCAAGATCGTATATACTGGGTAGCCCTGTTAGGCTTGTGGTAAGCTCTACTTCATCCCGCTCATCCATTCTTACAACTCCAACTACCCCGTCTAACAATCAACGGTATGAGTTCACGAGTTACTCAACGAGTTACTAACGAGTTACTAACGAGTTACTAACGAGTTACTAACGAGTTACTCAACGAGCTGCAAAGTGAAATGTTATCTTAACGACAAACTACTCGGTAACAAAGGAAGGAATTGTACGGTTGCTGTAGTGTGAATTCTTTACAGGACACTTCATGCAGCACAAATCTACAATGCTTGCCAGATAGATAATATTCCTGAATAGAACGCTCTTTTAACGTGCAGTCTCAGCTTTCCTTAAAACTTTATATTTCTGGGTTAAAAGTACTACGTTTATGATCTGTGCTTGCCAAGTTCGGAAATCTATATTGTACTTTGATATCGTGTTGTGTTAGAGCTACAATCATTGGAACTGTAAAGTATGTAATCAGGGTGGTGAATTTCTCCCAAGGTTTCGTCTTTTCTTAATTCGAATTGCGAGTACTCGAGTAGACACTAAAACTGTCAAGAAGACACTAAATTTGTAATTTTGATAACTCAAATTTGCATTTCCCATCTGACGACTGACAGCCGTTTCAATTCTCAGTCACTGCAGTTTTTTACCATATTACTACACCACTACCAACCAATTTTAAGTTTAAAATATACTTTTTGACATACTAGAAAGCAAAAACGACTACGTTTAAAGCGTACTTAAATTTACTTTTTATCAATTAAATTATGGTAATAAATCAGACTGGCCATAATATACCTGTGGAGACTGGAGTATTGACTGTATTTTGTTAAAGTTACCTTTTTTGAAAGTTTAAATCCTGAATGTATCAGTAAATAAATCTAAATCATAAAGTAAGGTCTTAAGAACCACTTACTACCTACATTCCATCAACAGATGTAGAGATGCTAACATGTCTCCATGGTAACAGTAGGATTATATTATGTAGTGTCATGTCCTCTGTACACAGAATATAATGTCTCATTTTGTGTCAATTCTTTACTTTCTACCATACAATTACACATAACATTCCATCTGTGTGATGCATGTGGTGCGCACAAAGAAATGTTGAAATTTGTACAATATTGGAATGTAATAATAAAGAGAAAGCACTATAATTATATACACTGCAGTATGTTGATGTACTTCATAATTTAGCAAGATGCTGTCAAATCGCGCCCGATATCCTGCTGCTGCTGCTTCGACTCTTAGAGCTGATATATAACAACAGATGGTGCTGTTGACACCCTGGTGTTAATTTATCACCATGGTGACGGTTGCTTGGGTAATTAAAACGCTGGTTAAAGGAGCTTAGTACATGTGTAATTGTGTAATTGACTATTAATGATAGGTTCACTTAAATTTGGTTACTAAAGAATAAAACCATAACTCAATACAAATAAATTCCACTATGTGTCTGTGCTATAGTTGGATCTAATAATATCTCGGTCATTTAGAGAAGCAGTAACAGCGTCACGCTGAGCTGTAACTGCATGCTCAGTAACTCAACACTAATTTGGGTGTTTTAACTGGGAACAGGTGTTTAGAACCCTTAGTCAACACTGTCCCACTGGTATATACTGTGTAGATTACAATGCATGTGGGTTACCATCCTGTATTGATTACCTGGAACCATTGCACAACCTGGTCCCAACAGGGATCGTATCATACCGTGTAGAAACCTTTAGTAAGTAGGGTGACATCCTAGGTTATATTCACTTTGTAGACCACCATTTCTGCGAGAAACTTCCCACTCCAGGTGATTCTTGATCTATCAGCGATATCTTACCATTTCTTATATCAAGATCGTAACTGCGTACCCTGGTATAGCGTGTGGTAAGCTCTACTTCATCCGCACATCCATTCTTACAACCCACACCCCGGTATAACATCAAGTTATGAGTCACGAGTACTCACATTACTAACATACTAACGTTACCTCAACGAGTGCATACGTGTAAATAGCTTACAACGACACACTACCGTAACAAAGGAAGAATTGTACGGTGCTGTAGCATATTCATTTACGATACACTTCCATCACACAGTATTACGATGCTGCCAGTAGAAATTCCGAATAGAACCCTTAACGTGCAGTCCAGCCTGTCTTAAACTTCATTTCTAGGTTAAAAGACAACGTTTATATCCTGTCTTGCAACCGAATCTGATAGTACTATATCGTGTGTGTTAGAACATACAATCATGGCAACTGTAAGTATTAATCGGCGGTAGAATCCATTAAGGTTTGTGGCAGGACTATTACCGTGTACAAATTACACACCACTACCATCCTTTAACTGTAAAATATACTTTTTGCATACTAGAAACCAAAAACGACTACGTTCCAAAGGTATTAATTACTTTTTATCAATTAAATAGGTATAAATCAACTGCCATAATAACCTGTGGATATTGACTGGTATTTGTAAAGTACCTATTTTGAAACGTTTAACATCCTGAATTTACGTAAAAACCATTAAATCAAATAAGGTCTTAGACCACTTACTATACATTCATACGATGTAGAAGATGCTCAACATGTCCCACCTGGTATAACGTAGATATATAACCAGTTACATATCCCTGTACACAGATATATTACCTTGTGTAATTCTTACTTTCTACCATTTAACAAACATTCCCATCCGTGTGATAAGTGTGCGACAAAGACATGTTGAAATGTCCCAATCTTGTATGTTAATAATAAAGAAAAGCCTATATTACATACACTGCCAGTATGGTGATGTACTTCTTTAGCAAGATGCTGTCAAATCGCCCCGAATCACTGTGCTGCCGACCTTCGGTGATATAAACAATAGATTGTGTTGTTAACACCCGGTTAATTACCATGGGACGGTTGCTGGTAATTCAAACGCTGAGTCTTAGGAGATTTACTGTGTGAATGTGTACATTACTATTAATATAGGTCTCACTAATTTGGTTACTAAAGATAAAACCATAATCAATACAATAAATCACTATGTGCTGTGCTTGTTGATCTATAATACGTGTTCCGGTCATTGTAGAGAACCAGTAACAGCGTCCACGCTGAGCTGATATACTGCATGCTCAGAACCAACAACACTTGGGTGTTTACGAACAGGTGTAGAAACCATTACAACACTGTCCCACCCTGGTATATACTGTGTAGAAACCATTACAACACTGTCCCACCCTGGTATATACCTTGTAGAAACCATTACAACACTGTCCCACCCTGGTATATACTGTGTAGAAACCATTACAACACTGTCCCACCCTGGTATATACCTTGTAGAAACCATTACAACACTGTCCCACCCTGGTATATACCTTGTAGAAACCATTACAACACTGTCCCACCCTGATATTTACCGTGTATAAACCATTACAACACTGTCCCACCCTGGTATATACCGTGTAGAAACCATTACAACACTGTCCCACCCTGATATATACCTTGTAGAAACCATTACAACACTGTCCCACCCTGATATTTACCGTGTAGAAACCATTACAACACTGTCCCACCCTGGTATATACCTTGTAGAAACCATTACAACACTGTCCCACCCTGATATTTACCTTGTAGAAACCATTACAACACTGTCCCACCCTGGTATATACCGTGTAGAAACCATTACAACACTGTCCCACCCTGGTATATACCGTGTAGAAACCATTACAACACTGTCCCACCCTGATATATACCGTGTAGAAACCATTACAACACTGTCCCACCCTGGTATATACCGTGTAGAAACCATTACAACACTGTCCCACCCTGATATTTACCGTGTAGAAACCATTACAACACTGTCGCATCCTTGATCCTGGTATATACCGTGTAGAAACCATTACAACACTGTCCCACCCTGGTATATACCGTGTAGAAACCATTACAACACTGTCTCACCCTGGTATATACCTTGTAGAAACCATTACAACACTGTCCCATCCTGGTATATACCGTGTAGAAACCATTACAACACTGTCCCACCCTGATATTTACCGTGTAGAAACCATTACAACACTGTCCCATCCTGGTATATACCTTGTAGAAACCATTACAACACTGTCCCATCCTGATATATACCGTGTAGAAACCATTACAACACTGTCCCACCCTGATATTTACCGTGTAGAAACCATTACAACACTGTCCCACCCTGGTATATACCGTGTAGAAACCATTACAACACTGTCCCACCCTGGTATATACCGTGTAGAAACCATTACAACACTGTCCCACCCTGGTATTTACCGTGTAGAAACCATTACAACACTGTCCCACCCTGGTATATACCGTGTAGAAACCATTACAACACTGTCCCACCCTGGTATTTACCGTGTAGAAACCATTACAACACTGTCCCACTCTGGTATATACCTTGTAGAAACCATTACAACACTGTCCCACCCTGGTATTTACCGTGTAGAAACCATTACAACACTGTCCCACTCTGGTATATACCTTGTAGAAACCATTACAACACTGTCCCACCCTGATATTTACCGTGTAGAAACCATTACAACACTGTCCCACCCTGGTATATACCTTGTAGAAACCATTACAACACTGTCCCATCCTGATATATACCGTGTAGAAGCCATTACAACACTGTCCCACCCTGGTATATACCGTGTAGAAACCATTACAACACTGTCCCACCCTGATATTTACCGTGTAGAAACCATTACAACACTGTCCCACCCTGATATATACCGTGTAGAAACCATTACAACACTGTCCCACCCTGGTATATACCGTGTAGAAACCATTACAACACTGTCCCATCCTGGTATATACCGTGTAGAAACCATTACAACACTGTCCCACCCTGGTATATACCGTGTAGAAACCATTACAACACTGTCCCACCCTGGTATATACCGTGTAGAAACCATTACAACACTGTCCCACCCTGGTATATACCGTGTAGAAACCATTACAACACTGTCCCATCCTGGTATATACCGTGTAGAAACCATTACAACACTGTCCCATCCTGGTATATACCGTGTAGAAACCATTACAACACTGTCCCATCCTGGTATATACCGTGTAGAAACCATTACAACACTGTCCCATCCTGGTATATACCGTGTAGAAACCATTACAACACTGTCCCACCCTGGTATTTACCTTGTAGAAACCATTACAACACTGTCCCACCCTGGTATATACGTGTAGAAACCATTACAACACTGTCCCACCCTGGTATATACCGTGTAGAAACCATTACAACACTGTCCCATCCTGATATTTACCGTGTAGA